CGCATCGTGAAGAAAATGAATGAACTTCTATTTTCTGTTTATTATTTATCTCTTTCATATGAAAAAAACTTACAAGATGTCTTATGAAATTTCATGTTTTCGTTTTACTTAAAACTTGTTTGGAGAGAGAAAAATGCGATAATTGACGTATGAAATATCTTATTTAAGTCTATTAACAACATGAAAGGGCACAGTATATATTATTCTTTTTTTGGATTTTCATATCTTGCTAATTAGTATCTATAAGTGCTTTTCTTTGAGTGGTGAATCCTAAGCAATATGATATTATCAATGCAACGATTTCCGATTGAAGAAGTGTTAATCTGATGTAGAATTATAGGTTATGCCGATCTTCATATCACAAAACCGCACATCTACATACATCAACACATCCTATATACGTAACCAGAACAACAAGAGCAGAGAAGAATCAAGGAGAAAGAGATATGCTCAATGATACATAGTTACGAAGGAAGGACAAAGAATGTGAAGAGGTCGGAAACATAGGAAAAGACAGAGCATCCAAGAAAGGAAGAGTAGGGTACAGAAAGGACACGATGTGATAAAAGCAATGATACGGGGAGGACAAAGAAAGTTTGATCAATATGTATGAGCACTTAGTTCGATCGAGCAGTGAAAGTAGATAATAATGTCGGAATACTTTAGAATGACATTAGATAATCTGTGTGCAATGCGTTCTGCTGTCCAGAGTTCTTCTCATTCATACGTACCATCAATTAAAATCATCTTATCTTATCACTGGTACATTCGCTTTTGCATGCCGTATTGAGTGTGTAGCGTTCAGTCCAATTATGAACTATTCCACGTCCATCTTTGGATCTGTAATTCGTGAGGATACTATCTCACTCATTCATGAATCTCTCATTAATACTGAAGTAGCTGAAATAGCTTGCAAGGTCTATGACCCAAAGAAAACAACTGTCGAAGTTTTTTATAAGCTGAAACGGCTTCAACACTCATGGATATTCAGCGACGATGTCCAATACTCATCGAAATGACATGCACGTCATACGAGTACTAGCTTGCCGTGGAACAGAGATAGTACTCATCTACGTCATTGTATCAACTGCATTTCTTCCATTGGTAATATCTCGTACGGCTGTCGATAAAAACTGTATCAGACAGTTTCCAACAAGGGAATACGCTTGCCAATCAGCTTCTCAAGCACAAATAATTACGTACATAACTTTTGTATTCTAGTTTTGGGCATAGTAGATCTTGAGCAATGACTTACTAGTTTTGCTATGCGCTATAGTCAAAATAACAAACACCAAATCCTTCAAAATTGGAAGCTTTTATAGAAGAAATCGCATTCACTTCTAACTCTCGATATTCCATATTTCAAAGGCCATATTTAGAAATGTTTCGACGTTATCGAGGATTAACTAAAAAACAAAGCGTTGCATGAAGTACATAGACATTTGAGATATCACAGAAACGATAGTTTCTTGACATCAATGAATTCACGTGCATGATGAATATTATTTCTTTGGGTACCCGAATTTTGACGCAGTCACATAATCTGTAATCTTGAGTTCATTTTTGCCATAATCCATGTTATTTGTTGTACTACCATTTCTGAAGATGAAAGTCTAATGGTGATAGTAAGATCAGGTTGAAAAGTAGATTCACACCGACACAGTCATCCATCCTGAACTTCTGTTTATTACCTTACTTTTGACAATCCCATTAGTAATCATAGAAAAGAAAATTTAGGACTCAACCGTGAATGAAAAAAAGTACGATTGAAATTCCAGTCCAATTCTTTGAAAACAGTAAAATGTACAATATTGTTTAAGCATACACTCCAGTTTTATGCAGATGTGCTTTTGAATGTATTATCTTCAAAATGATTTACATCACTTACCATACAAAGTCTTGTTATCTTTTCTACTTGTCCCTATAACAACTACATTTAACAAATGCTTCGCACTTCTTTAAAGAATTCCTATAATTTGCGACAAATTCTAGTTCCCTGAATCAGTCTCTGGATGATTCCACATTTGTGAATAAATAGATGTTACTCAGTCCTGGCGATCAACTAGGGACTGTAATTCAAGGTTTTTGCAAAATCAGTTATTTTAAACATAGGTCTATGACAGTTCACTGTTCTTGAGTCAGTTATTTTTCAAAAGAACTAGAGCTGGACGCCAGATTTGGGTGAAAGAAGTTGAACTGGTGACCAATTCTTTTTTGTGAGAACTGAAAGTGATAATAAGTTTTCGTGAAAAGAATTAGAACGGGTGACAAGTTCTTTTGTTTTAATTTTTGGAGTGACTATTGCATATGATCGCTAGCCTTGTGTTGCCGATAGAACCAGTCCATTTGAAAAGAACTGCTTGCAGGAACAGATTCTCGGAAAAGAAACTGGTCACTGGGTCCAATTCTCGAAAAAGAACTGACTCATATAAATATGAACTATCATAGACCTATGTTTAATATATCTTATTTTGAAAAAAAATCCCTAAATTAAAGTCCCGACTTGGTCGCCAGAACTGACTAACTTTTTATTATTCGCAAATGTAGAATCATTGGAAGATTGATTCAGGGAGCCAGAATGTATGGCAAAGGATAACCGACCATTTTTAAGCGAAGTTGATATCACCACTATTCATTTCACGACGAATACTGATCTTATCAGTCTGGTATTCTCAATATCAACCGCATGGAAAAATTACAGCGCATGATGGAAACTTGCTTCATAACTTAATTGTTGGAGGATCCGACTAGAATTTAAGTGTCACCCGGTTTAATTCTGTCCACTCTTTAACGGTGTTACCTGACTTTTTTTGGCCATTTTTTTCTCATTTTAGTATGTGTAGGCTGGTGTGTGGGTCTTCCTTTCAATCACACTAGTACACCTACACTCAACTTTGTTGTGTATGTCTGTTTTTGTTCGCAGCTTGACATGAACACTTCGTTTGGCTCATTTTATTATCGCTACTGTTGCTATATTTCTCCTGCCCTTTGAGGCAGACTCTATTCATTTTCGCTTCTCTTAGCTAACTTAGAAAGAGTTTCTCTCTCATTGTCCACTTGCAGTTAAACAGTTTAACGTGAAGAATGGTACTAACATAATTGGTAAATTATTAGTCATGTTTGCTAATGATATTTCATCTTTTGTTCATAAGGCGTTCGATGCTCTCGCTATCCCATGTTACTATAACTACATCGTCTCTTGCTCGTCCATATGTTATTCCTTGGTCACTCACAAAGTCACGTTTCCTCATTGCATTGATGCTTTTTTCCTTGGAAATCACTTGATTACAATTTTTACTTTCTCCTATCAAATGAAGATCGGTCTCTTGACTGGCCTGAAAATCAGCAGATCAGTGAGAGACGCATGATTACTATGGTGCGAGATCTCTTTTGATACGCTTTTCTTCGTCTCGAACAAGAATGAATACATTTCTCTTTTTCTCTTCCTTTTTATTTTCCAGATATCGTCTTAGTCCTGAGAAAAATTTCATGCGTTGCCCTTCTCTCTCAAATGTATTCTTCTCGAAGTGTTTCTTCGTCACCAAAAATGTTTTCTTTTGTATCAATTGTTGTCGTTCACATCAATCACTATATACAATCGATTATGGAAGTGTAATCAGGTAAGGATATGAACATGCAGCAATTATAATCAGTTTTCAATTGAAATCGAATATAATTCGTATATGGTCATTTCATTATTTTATTACGCATCCGTTGAAAAATAATCGATTATAATCAACAATTGTCTTATTTCTTTTTAATACGGGTATTATTGTTTCATTCTGCTGTTTCAGACTGTTGCTGTTAAGTGCTTTCCAGCACAGAAATAACTGTGGCAATATCCAGCTGCTATTTTTGATAAAAGAACGCTTACAGGAGAGCCTCTTGAACCTACATTTCATGTTTTTTGTCTTCCAAATTGAATATAATTGTCAAATACACTAGGTTTCAGCCATTTTGAATATAATGTATGAAAACCGAGAATTATCGGTTGTACTTTCTATTCGAAGTCAAACCATGAACTATTACAGTTTCATACCCAAAAGGAATTTATAGTTTTGATCGTTTGAACGAGAACATTAGTAAAACTCGATGCGTGCTAGAAGCCAAGAACTTCATCAATCGTTATTTAGAAAGCGCTCTGATATCAGTTTGTTTTTCGTGATCGATTTTCCAATGAGAAACTCTTTAGAAAATTTTTCAAATCTGAATGATGAGGACTCATCGAGATATGAGTGAAATATTGAAGCCACTATCTATATAGGGGCACCGATTATTCTGTATTTATTAACAATGATGCTCAACGCTTTCCTTTTCGTATGCCAACATCTAAGACCTTTATTTATTAGACTAAGAAAACCAAAGTGAGGTGTTTTCGATCAAGGTACTGGATCTCTAAGCTTTTTATTTTCCTTTTATCGCATTTGCTACGAATGAACTTGTACCACCACATTTTTACTTATTTCGTTTTGTTCTAGTATTCACTGCCTTCTCGTATGATTTATTTTTCAGATTATCTGCTTTCTTAATCTTTTCACTAATATCGATCAAAAACAATATCCATCATGGGCAACAAAGGCACCAAGAAAGGACCACCAAAGGAACTCACGCCTAAACGTTAGTTCATTATCTGTTTCGTTAACATTGTCATGATGATTTACTATTTCAGAACTTGCAATGCTCAAAGCAACTACCGAATATACTGAGAAGGGTAGGAAAGCAAAGACCATTGATGTAATTTAGCTTTTCTATTTGTTTTTCTAAGATATCCAAGAGTGGCATGCCGTAACTATTTATATATATACTTGTATTCGTGAACTTCATTTCGTTTCTAGAGTTTTCTTCGTGAATCTCCAACGGGCAAACTCAACAAGAAACAATTTGTTGAGGCATACAAAAAATTTTATTCAGGCAGCAAAGCAGACGCTTACTGCCAGTAGGGCAACAGATTTTTTCTATTGCATCTTCTCTTACTTTCCTATTTAAGACTTGCCTTTTCCATGTTTGATGCTAATCATGACGGAACGATTGATTTCAATGAATACCTCCTTGCTGTTGCTGCTACATCTCAAGGTGATTTAGATGATCGACTCGAAGTTGCATTCGATATGTGAGTTCAATTGAGTTCGCTTATGCATGTTTTTTCTGCCATTCAGATGCGATACTTCAGATGACGGGCAAATCAATCAAAAAGAATTGGCTACAATGATTTCGGCTGCTGTACGATATCTATATTTCTACTTTCGTTCTTGTTTTTTATGAAGCAAAATATATTTATTTTAAGTATGATCTACTGGGCGAAACCGATCGAAAAGGAGATAATGATCCTAAGAAGCGTGCAACAGAAATCATTACCAAACTCGATATTGGTGGAGATAAAAAATTGAACAAGTATGAGTTCATAGCTGGGTAAGTATATGGTGACGTACTAAAACATCCACTGATTATGTTCTTCTTCTAGATGCAAAAACGATCCAGTCCTTCGTCGTTTGCTGGCATTCAACGTTTGAGAGCCTTTTTCATTATCGATAGACCTGATGTTTTTTACTCTTTTTCTTTCCACGTAACACAAGTGAAATTTTACTTGAATTTCCTGATTGTATTCCTTTTTTTTAATAACCGATAACATGCACTAGACTACATTATCCAATCAAAAATAGAGGTTGTTCTAAATGCTAGATTGTTTTCAGAAAGGATTCAGAGTTCTTTTGAGTATGGTTATAACATGGCGAAAACAGTTATATTTTACAAAAAATGGCGTTAAGATTTCAAATAAGCGTAAAACAATATCTTTGAAGTTTTAGTTAAAAGTTGAAAAGAAAATTTTCACTTATGCTTTGATTTTTTCGTTTTGTTCTTGGCTTGATCATTTTCTGCTTCATTTTTCCAAAGGTTATTCGGAGCAATACCTGCTATGCTAGAAGATGAATAATTGGACAAAATCGGATATGTGGATGTGTCAGAAGTGTCATGATGACCATAAGGAATGATGATAAAGTAATCTTCTGACCTATTGATTCTGAACGTTAAATATTATCTCATAACAAATTGTTGATTTGGTGTAGATCTTACGCCTGCTTCGCTTCTTTTTTTTTCATATTGCATGCACGTACGAACTATTTGACTTATTCTTTGTTTTATACTTTCCTTTCTTTGTGAATTTATGAACAATCTGCGACAAAGAGTGTTTTATGTTAAAAAGTCGAAAGATAAAGACAGCGAAACTGTTTCTCAAATGTTGTTTAAGATAAGCCGACACAAATTCTCGATTCGATCCTCTCAATTCAGAGATTAAAATAATCAATATGCACTAGACTGACTTGTGAATCACAATTTCTGAATCTTGATTGCTACATTATTAGTGTTGCTTAACAACATTGAACTGCACTTTTATAATTATTCGTATTCATCGAATAAATTTCGTGTGGGTTTGCTCGACTACTCAACAAGTCATTTTTATCTACCAAAAACCCATAAACAGCACTTCTTAAATCATGTTTTCAATCTTGAAGAGGAGACACAAACTCCATGAACAGCCGATGATATTTTCATGGAACTTCTATAAGAAGTGAATTCAGTTATATAAGTGAAGACTTTCTGCATTTGCTTAAGGAATGATAAGGCAGTTATATCGTGCTACAGTAATGAAATCTTCAGAAGATTGGCTTACTTCTTCTGCTCCCAAATCAATCATTTCCAGCAGTAAAAGGCCATACACCGACAGCCGTTTACGGTGAACATTTACAGTACTCATATACAATACTTCACAATGTATTACGATCGTCGTATGTACTTGTAAACATTCGTTAACGTTGACGACCTACTCTCATCGAATATGGTGGTATGATTATGAGATTTCAGCTCTAGAAAGGCTGAACTTCTTAGCATTGTTTTCAAGTATGTCAAAAGTAGTTCAAATTATCAATAAAAGCTTGAGATTTGTACGACTGTTTGCTTTTCAAAGTTCTATTCACTGACACATTCTTATTGTTTTTTTAATGAATAGATTAACAAATGATCAATGCTTTATTCAAATTTTTGTTAGACATTTTTTAGCTCATATTAAGCTTATTCTAGAATTTTTTGTATTAAGTGTGAAAAATGATGAAAACAGTAATAAAATGTTTCCTCTCGTTGTATTGAGTGTTCTAACCAAGGATGATTGGTATGGCATTCGAGAAAAATACTCTAATAACTCCATTCTCCGAATTAACTGGTGCATGACGCTATACAAATGGTTCTGATCTTGTTCGATTCACATCAGTGGGGCACAATTTTGTTGAAGATCTTAATAGTAAGATTTTCCTACTTGAACTTGAATTTGTGAGATGAACTTCACGTACACAAACTGAACTGTAATGCGATAACAATAAGGGGTTCAACTCGTTTAGCGCGATAAGAAAGCATTTAACACTGAAAATTGCTGGTTTAAGGTCATGTTGGCGCTACTATCTTCTTCACACAATACCTTGCTAAATACGATAAAATTACCAAACAAGTCGTTTCGTTCGTTCGAATGCTTTTTTTCTCTACCGATTTAAACTGTTTTCTAAAGATTTTTTAAAACTAACGTACCATGTTTTATAAGATTTGAGTCTTTTTTTCTGTCATGAGCACTCTTTTATTAGTTTATCATACATAACCAATAGAATTGAAATATTAAGCCTTCATCTTGGCTACCAAATAATATTGCACAGATACAACAGCATCACTCACAGAATTTGAAGAAAGAAACTGCCAAAAACTTAATATTGGGCCATCTTAATTGGACTTCTTGTTACTTGAATGTACAGCAAATCAAGGAAAATAATTCGTTACTTAACATCATCAGAAGGTCACTTTAAAAATAGGTTGTGCAACAAACCATTCAAAATATGCTTAATCAAAGCTACTCTAAATGAATAATAGCAAAACATTATTATGAAATGTCACATATATTTAACATATGAATATGAACAAAAAAAACACTTGCTGATAACGAGTTATAGATCTTGTTATGTAACAATACTTATTCTATGAAGTAAATGATAATCTTAAGAGCGGCCAAGCATGATATTTTAGTAGCGTTAAGCGGACGTAAAAGAGTTTTTCACAAAGTATTGACCACAGTGATTTAAAATAATGGCTTTGCCAAAGCAATTAGACATTTATAATATTATATATCAAGAGCCATTCATAAAAATGGTTTTCGAAACCGGCCACAAGATTACATAAAAACATCTGATACAGGTGCACGTTAGATTAATCAGAAATATGAATCTATAGAACTATATTGATTTCTGTTTTGCATACATTAAATGTCTACGTAATGATGAAAAATTATTTCTGATTGACCAATTCAAACTGTTTCTTTGAATCAATCAATGGTATAAGACCGATTTTACGCATTATAAATATCATGGAACTTCTAAACTATAGATAACGTTAGCAAGATCTTTGGTCATGGTAGTTTTGGTGCCAACAACATGAAAACAACCAAACCATAGCACATTTGTGCAAGTATAGGATTCTTTTAGATAGAGTTCAGAAACAAACTATGATATTAAACATGATAAGAATGCTTTTTGTGAAAATATAAAATAACATTGACCTATCATTTATTCATATTACTGATGAAAAAAAAATATTTCTAAACCCTCTTGTCTTCTTTTTCTCTTTAAAGGAGTCGAACCTTTTCTTCATACCACTCTTTTTTAAGTGCTTAACAGCCTGTTATGAAATGTATGAATGAGATAATGTTGACAGTATAACTTCGTGCAGTTTTGGTTTTGGTGAATATACTAAGACAAGAAAAATGACACATGAGCATTTAAAAACTTCAATTATTGCTCAGTCAAGTTTTATTTTCTTATGTTCACCCTTTAAAATAGTTTCGTAGCTAAGATATAGCCGAACTTGTCCAAGCAAATCTTTGAGCTTATGGTCCTTTGTGCCATCACACTTCTAGATAGGTCTCTACTCTACAAATGTGTTTTCTGCAAAAAAAACTTCCTTTTTCTGTTTAGTAAATGATAAAGAAAGACAAAGTAGTGATTACTTGTCTGCTCACAGCAAAGATCACAAGTAGTTCGTTGTAGCTGCTGATCGATCAACGATATCCTCTATACCTATAAAAGGCACTCGAAAACCTCCAGAGTCTATCAACTCGATAGAAGGTTGTTATCTCAATCATTCATTTAACTATTTCTCATTATGTTACTATCTCATTCTTTACATTTTTTCAAATGGATATTGTTTGCAGTGGTAGCCACTCTTTAGGTACGAAAAAAGTCAAAATAATGCAATAACAGTCTCACTGACGATTGCTTTCTTTATTCCATCATTTTGTCAAGTGTTTTGAATTATCTTTCTTTCTTTCTTTTCACATTACATTTCTATTTTCTAGTGGCACCTTCATTTTCATAAATCGAGCCTAAATATCATTATTTAGTTTTGTACACGAAGATTTGATTACACTTGATTAATCTTAGCTCTTGCCTAAGAAAGCGATACTAAGAAATAAATGAAGTTAAGCTGCAAAAGGTATCCATATAACTCAGCAAAAAGGTTGATAAAAACCATCAGCGAATAGTAAAAAGCTGAAAATATTAGAGACATTCTAATCGCAGAGCTACGGCTATCGAACGCGAGTCTAATACCAAGTTTATACCTCGGATACAATAACTCGATATCAATGTTTCTTTTTTTATCGATATAACAAATAACAAATGATCTGATGTTCAAAGAGTTATTAAATAAGAAACCGTGAAATCATCAGCACTAACTCGATCAAATGACTTATGGTAATATATATCAATGTATTGTTTAGTTGAAAAATATTTTTTCGATCTTTCGATGCAGTCAATTTTTTACTCTCTGTTTTCTTTGCAGAAAAGCAAGTACCAGATATATTGCTCTATAGAGACGATAGAGAAAGTAGAAAGACTTGCGAATTCTGGTCACAACTGGAGAATAAAAGTCAAAGCCAAATTTTCACTCTAGTTCGTATTTGACTCTTTACTGGTTGATACGTTATTCATTGCCACAGTTACTGTATGATGTAGTGGAACAGTCAAAAAAACTTTAGAAGCTACTCTGAACTCTGATCGATTATCAAGTCATTAGTTACCATGTCATAGAAATCGCTAAAAAATTGCCGATTAATCGCGATATATCGAAACGATAATCGTGAGCGGAAACCCGATTAATCGCCGATTTTTAATGATATTTTTAGTGATTATTACGATAAATCGCGATTTATTCCCGATTATTTTGAATGTTAACCGTAGCTTTATCGTCAACCGGATCTAAGATTTTCACTATTTCAGATTAATTTTGTTTATTTTCTTAAAACTACATCGAGTCTTTAGGATTAAATTTTATTAAAAAATTTATCCGTTTTTATCACACATGAAAGAAAAAAATACAATAAAA